GTGCGTGAACGCTTAGCACGGGCTAAGGAATGCTAAGTACGGGTTAAATCTGATCCAAATTTAAGATGCGGTCTAGACCCTTAGCACGGGCTAACGAAGTGTGTGCGAACGCTTAGCCCAGGGCTAAGCGCCCTCATCAGCGACCTTTGGGTGTGAACATTATGCACGTGATAAAATATATCCAACTTTCTCATTCCCAAAATGGCAACCGAGCTCAGTTTACACGCTTCCACACTGATCGGGTCGCTGTAGTAGAGCGTACAGCAACTCCAATCGTAAACAAAATAAATTTGGTTCGCTGTCTACGAAATGCATTAATAAAACTCTGTATTCTGTTACGCCGTTGTATACTGTTTCTGTGCATCCAAATAAGTTGGGTCCGTCTTCTCTCGCGTTCCTGTGCACGTCGAAACACGTCAGCAGCAGAAATAGAACCTCGCGCGTATCATCCATTTTTCGTTCGTAAATAGCAGCTTGTCAAGGGTCACCAACTGATGGCGCCCCTTAGCCCATGCTAACGACTGGCCCTCCCTGTGCGTGGACACAATTGGGTCTAGCCGAAATGCAAATATGCTAGATAAGCCTAAATCAGCTTAAATCTTAGCCCATACTTCGTGTAACGTGAACACAACTTTTGACTAGTATATTTATTGAATTTTCATTTTTGTTTATATTGACTACAGGCAAGCCTAATGTAAACATGTTATCCACATGCTTTACACCCAACTTTCAATTCAGCTAATATTGTAGAATATTTTATTTTCACATGAGGGAAAGAAAAATCAGTGAAAATAAAAAAATCTAATATAGCTTCATAACTTCATAACCTGGAATCAACACATCAACCACAAAGTTACTACGGTAAGTCTCCAGTCTGAAACTGAACAAGCATTAAATACAGAATTAAAAAAAAATTAAGGGAGTGGGAGGAGCTTAACCAAGAGCATGTTTTCACACAATAAAAAGCCAAATGTAATTATTGTAATTTTTCAAAGAGAAAGAAAGAAGAGGACACTAATTCCCAAAACACAACACTAGGCTACGCTTGGTGAGTTTGATTAATTGAAGCTTCTTTCCGCAGACAAATCCATTTTTAATTTGATATGCAATGCTGTAACACATACATAACACATTACCCAGTATAGCATTTATTTAGCATGCAGGACTCGAACACGCATTTTCTGTCAGAATTGGATAGCTATGATGAGCCATCTTCCACAAAGTAGTCCTTTTCCAAAATTAAAAACTATCAATCAAATCAAATCTAAATTTCAAATATTCAACCCAGTTTAGGAACATTTGAAATTAAATCCAAAGCTTGATAATAATACATTTAGATTAAACACATGTGATGATGATGATGATGATGTCATACAACATTTATGATAATAACATGCACCATATATTTATTTCACAGCTGTCTAGGTATTGCTTGCATCACAATGGTTATTTTGACTAGTAAAGCTTACACTCCTTTAAGAAAGAGATGTTAGATAAAGTAAAAGAGTAAACAAACGCCCATCTTTAGTATGACCCCCTAAAGGTCTAACAAAACACTGTAAATCTCAGTGATATTTTATGAATAATAATTGCAGTAGTGTACATTTATTATTTGCTCAATCATCAAGCAGGTATACTTAAATGATCTGGAATGTTCATAAACATAGCACCATGCTTGTTCTATATTGCAGGTTTTTTCCATGACAATTTTGTGTGAAGATGATTTTTAATAAATAATTATTTTCAAACAGATTAAAAAATATCTCCTAATACAAATTTATTTAATAATTTTTAAAACATTAGATAATTTAGTAAGAGTGTTAACAACTTTGAATGTTTTAAATGAGAGCTTGAAGAGTGATATGCCAATCAACAGACTCCCCGATGAGAACAATTTGTTCTCAGTTGGAAGCTTATTAACATATAATGATGAAATTATTTAATAAATAAGTTTTTAGTTTATATGACCTTCCACTAAAGATATGATTCCAATACAGCAACACAGTATTATCTTCCTTCCATATGTCTATGGAAAGCAGGGGAGATGTTATTTTTAAAAACACACTGCTGACCAACCTAATTTGCTTGTATACCAGCCCCTTGGGATTAGGAGCTTCACTAACGGCCAGTTAATCCTATATAGCAGCTCACACAACAGAGAGAATCATCTCTATTTTCATCATCAGATAATCCAATTTTGTGTACATTTTTGCTTTGAAATGGGTGATACTATTATAAAAGGAGGTGGAGACATATACTTGGTATGATATGGCTGTCACAGTGATGAAAAGAAGTCAACAAATTAGTCATCAAATGAATGAATTCCATATCCGGTGACTGAAAATCCCAAAGAATTATCGGAAATGCATGTCAGTTCAGATGGGGCTTGTTGGAGTGGTGCTGTGTTGAAGACATAAAAAATAGCAAAGCCATGAATTTCATTTGTCAATGAAGGACACTAACACTAATTCCAATGCATAGATGCTAACACAGGCATAATTCTGTCAAATGCAATTAACACTTAGCAAACTAATTTGACACTAACAAAATCAAGAATAAATACGCTAATCAAAAACATTTTAACTTAAAAGTAACTACAGTAACAAAATATATGAGAAATAAAATTAATAGTTTCTCGTTTATAGGGGTTGTTGACCTACAAAATATATGATACAATCAAACATTATTCCTATGATTTGTAATGTGCCTATCAGTAATTGATTGCATTTGAGTGGCATAACTGACAAGCAATGGATTCCTACTAATGATTCAAATGTAACCAAGGCTGTATCAAGGTCGTCAATATCAATTTCAAGAAATCAGGAAAAATAAGGGTTAATACTATTGTATTTTATTGGAAAAATTGTATTTTTTCACAGATTACAAATTACAAGCCTTGTTTAAATATCATGGCAACACCATAATAATAGCAATTAAGGGAATAAGGAGCAGCAATTATCACAGACCTACAGAAATGTGAAAATCACAGCCTGTGTCAAATGCTTGTTTCCAAAAAACATTGCCTCAGGCATACTCAAGGCCAACGAGGTGGGGAGTTGCACAGCTGGTAACTCTAGAGAATGCATGCCTAATTTTTTTTTTCTTCTTCTAGAAATACACATTGAAATGAACAGTAGCCACATAAAATAACACACAAATTACTGAATGACATCATAAATTTTATGGATTATCACATTCCTACAGTCTGTCTTGGTCATAAAATGTGACATTGACATGCTTTTATACAGTCAGGCTAAAAAAGAGTAGCCTTTTTACATTTGCAGCAGTTATAAATAACACAGTATTTTTTTTACTGCAGTTTCCAGGTTTACTAGAGGTCAAGCTATGTTCTTCAGGTCAATACAACTGTTTTGTTAACAGAAATAAAACATTAGCTTTATATAACATTTTATGGACAACTAAAGAGGTCTTTGATGGTCAGTGTAAATAAAGAAATAAAACCACAAAAATACACAAAATATAGATCTCAAAGATAGCTGTATCTGTGGGTGATTCTGAAAATATTTCAATGATAGTTTCAGTTTTCTTCTTTACATGAAAACTTTCTGACTTACCCAAGATACAACACGGCCGTTGAAACATGGAAGTTTGGTGTCCTCATCAACAATTTCTTCTTTTACAACACTGAAACATAGAGGTGCAATGTAAAAATAAATATTGTATTTCTTTGTAGACAGATGTGACTAACTGGGGTATCACTTACAAAATTAAATTATTATGTGAAAAATTAAATACAAGTGTATCATGTTTTTTTTTTATTAAAACATATATGAGATCTATGATGTAAAGCATTGTGTCATTTGTTGGACGGGAAAAGTTACACATTCTGACAGCAGTGTCAGGGACGTAGCTCATCACCAATTCAAAATGGCTTCTTTCTCATTCTAAGCTGTGTTGACCGTCATAATACATACATACAAGGATGATTTGTGATGCGATTGTTTTGCAATATCACCGGTTTACGTGCGCGGCGAAGACATCGTGAATACTAGACAACATTATGAATAAATATACGCAATCGAAATGTAAATAAATAAGGGAAAATGGCACCGACCTATGGGGCCCTACCTCGCACCATACCCAAGTCCTCCACAAACGGGGATCGCTTTCATCAAATAACAATCGAATATGGGGCTTTCGATCTCGAAAATAAGCCCTCATTTTAAAAGATCAGTCTTTTTGATAGACTCTTCAACAGAAAAATAATGTTTGAAATCTGTAATGGCGGTGAAAATAATGGTCTTTCGTCGCCATTTGCCAGTATCACGGACAAGAGACAGACAATTGAATTGGATAATGTGTATACAACATAGTGGCAGGCGGCCATTTTCTTTGCTGATTTTGCGAACAGAGAGCTGCAATTTACACTGCCGTGCAAGGAATGAGAACGACAAGAACATGACACATACATCTCATCGTATAGCTGATACACTAAAGCAGTGAAATATGCGAAGACTTACCCAAAATCATCGTCCATAGATTTAAAGAAAAACTTGTAATTTGGCCGATTAAGTACATTTTTAAAATCCGCCAAAGTGACTTGGTCAGAAGGAATCGGCAGTTTAACTAAGTACGGAGTATCTTCGTCGTCAATATGATATATTATTTTGGTTTCCTCCATCATGGAGGTCCAAACAGTGAAATAATCCGGTAGTTAGGCAATCAGTCCGTGTAGAAGCGTATACGGTCAAGTTCTCGAGCCACCTATTTTCCTTCGCCAAGCTTTTTTTCACCTCCAAGTATGCAAATGAGATATCGACGTATTCTCAACTCTACTCAATTGGCTGTTACATTTATTTAACTCACCCCACCGTTTAAACTGACGCATATGTTCTCATGCTGCTGGAACACATTCCTACCGGGTGTTTCGAGATTTGCGCTGCTAAACAATTTAGATAATTGTTTATAAGGAGTGCTTTAGGGACGGTTAATCACGTGATAATCGTTTTGTGGATTTGGGCGGAACCTTTGTTGGGAGAGCCAACGAGTGATATACCTTGAAAATCCGGAAAATGCATTTTTAAGGTCTAAAACGTTGACTGTCGAGCTAGTCAGACTGAAGAGGGGAAATTGAAAGCTGTTCATAACCTGCCACTCAGGGAATCGCTCAACTCCCCTTCAGAAATAAAAAAAAAAACGTTCCCCTGTCCTCAAAAACCTTGTAACAGCATTTTCGATGAACATCATGTATAATTGTATTTCTTTGTTTTTATTACGCCTATTTAATACGTACATGTAAAATTACACTCTTACAACACAATGTCCCATAACATTTTGTGAAAATTGTATTCAGTGAATTTTATATAATTTGCTATAATAAATTCTGTTCTGAGCTCCCATGCTTTCAAGCTTGGCTTTAATTGCATGACGAAATTTAATTTGATTATGACCTTGGTGTAATGACTTCAATTAGTAATACTAGTTATTGTGAACATGGTTTAAACATTGGACACTCCAATGTCTGAATTCCGGGAATGTCATATGATGTATATTTGTATTGTTTTAATCTTATTTCTTCATGTTATAAATAAAGATACACAAGCTATGAGTGATAAGCCTCACATGAAATACATTAAAGTAACCAAATAGCACCACTGCTAAAAAAAAACAGTTAAAGATGGCAAGTCCCATTTCAGATTATGTTTGTTTAGAGATAACACATTTCTGGGAGAAAAAGATGCTAACACCTCCCGGGCCACAATCTTACAATATTTTCAGATGTGCTTGTTTGCTCTTTTGGCATGACATCTGTTTTTATGACCGGGAAATCTTTTAAAAAACGCAAATAAATAAAATAAACTGAAATAAACTGAGGAAAACAAAGGAGTAGTTAGTTATTTATAAAGGATAAACCAAGGTCACTGCAAAAGAATCAGAGAAAAAAGTTGTTCTACATACAATAATACGGTCCTTGCAAATGCCATAATGGTCTTACCATTCGTTTCTGAGGCAGGTATGTTTATTGTGTGTGTGTAAATGTGTACACAAACATGAGTATGATATATTTGTAGTTTTTAAGTTAAAATCATTGTTTTCAAAGAAGTAGATAACCATTTCGTCAGCGAACAACTCGCATTACGTCTAGGCATGCATACTGTAATCTTCTAAATAAGTGTATACGTCACGTTAGGAGTTACATTAGGGACGAAATGTACACAATAATAACTTAATTGGACATTTGTTGTTTATTCGGAAAAAATTCTAAAACCCGGGACAAAACGAAAGTATTTTGCTAGTTATGATCTCTAAATTATTTTCATAGAAATGATAATTTATGATAAAAATGTTTTCAAATTGACAAAATGGCCACCAATACTTTGAATGGAGAAGTAATATTTTCCCTGAAGATGCTGTGATGTTCCCCAACTTTAATCACGTCAATACCCTTATATTAGCTCAAACTACAACATAATGGAATGGAATGCTGGGTAATAGTATTTTCATTTATGAATACTATACATAAATACGAAAATACCAAAAACCTTTCCAACAGGTTTTTAATGATTTATGACGTCACTGCTACGTTTTACGTCACTCCATCCTGTATGTAAAGTAGGATGACAACTATGTTCATCTTGAGTAGTAATAGACAAGGCCAGGGCCAATAAAGCCACCAAACCCGCTTCTGTTTCACTTTATAATTCTACGGTCACTTAAAGATGGTGTGTTCTGTCAATCAAAATATTGACCATGAGAGTAGAAACATAGTCAAGGTAGTGGAAACAACGAACACACACATACCCCGGGAATGATGACCAGCATAAAAACAAAGCAAATTCCCACAAGACCTGACAATCGGTATCCTGGTCGAATCTGGTGTCCGCGAAAAACAACCACGTCACAGTACCACAGACGACTGATCCTCTAAAACCCGGTGGTGAAATCCAACCGAAAAATAAAAGTCTAAGGCAAGTGATCCCCAAAACATAAAATGCCTATATATTAAAAATAACCAATATCTGAGAGAATCAAGTAGTTGTTAGCTCGATGATAATGCCGACTGCCTGATGAGACTGGCGCCATACCTGTATAATCGGATCGGATATTTGTCGTCATTTGCCGAGAAACCCACTCACAGTAATTACATCAAATAAGTATTTTTGAGTTTCAATTTATGCAATGTGCTGATTGAATCGCGTATCGAAAGGATGATATATATGTGATACAGATCTCCAGTTCATGGGTTGCTACTATTATACACGAATCGCAATTACACATTCCATATTAGTTCCTACGCACACGTGTTGATTCGGGGTTAGTCAAATTGGGTTCGCCGGAAGTTTTTGACCAGGTTCAGAAAATTGTAGTAAATATAACCACGTTATTCATGGGTTCGCGTGTTATTTTATATTTTAAATAATATATGTGTTAACACTAAATGTACATCACTAATATATCACACGTTTCATACTAAATGTATCCTTTGTGGCAATTTAGTCGCATTTTAGAATAAAAGTACTGAAAGTAGATCACCGGCCGGAAGTAGAGAATGATATTCTTTATCAACCTCAGTATGGGACAAATACGTCAGTTTTTGTTCTTAGACTACCTCTTTCGATATTTGATAACAACATGTTTTAGCCAACACTAATGCGCATGCTCTCCTAATTTTCTAATACAGTTCGTGTATATACTATGTAAGAACGCGCATTGTTGATGCGGGTAAAACCATAGACCCTCTAAAAAGAGGGTCTATGGTAAAACTAACTAAAGGAATACGTAATTTAAAATATATCATTTTGTGGTCACATGTTCAAAAATACAGGTGTAACCACAAGTAGTGACTTGTCTATCTGACTGGGAATTGAAGTACCGTACATTATATGTCACGTTATATCAGTATCATACTTATTTTAGTTTTTTTGTAAAATTTAGCAATTAATTGTACCATGTTCCGCTCCTATCCGGACGCCCTCTATTTTCGTTATATGATTTGATTATTTATGAAATACGTAGAATATAACATAATAATTATTGATCACGTGGCAATGAATATACATACTACACAATCAGTTATTTACGTGACTGTAAAGCAGTCTTGTTTGGATAGATAATATCCTGTTTCAGAATGAAACAACATGAAGTCATTTATTAACGCACATTTAAATGTATCTTGCGTTGTGGACAGAGAGGGCGTGATACTCATGCGTAGATGCCGCCGAGTTCTTCAAAGGTAGGTGAAGTTATAGAGTAGATGGAAATGTAAGTTTACTGAATATTAGCAATAATCAATAACAAACTAGATATCTGAGGTGTTTAGCGGGGATTTGGCGAAAAAAGAGTATCCGAGAACCGAGAATCTCTGATATTTTGAATGACGGATGACTATTTGGAAAATTTCACATAAGAAATTAAGAATCATGGTGAAGCAAAGTTCGGTTTGGGCCAGACATTACAGCCTCTCCACCCTTTTCAAGGATATCACGTAATGATGTATATTATGTTTAGGTTTGACATGTCTTCTCCCAGGTGTATAGTTATTACAAGTCGTTTAAACAGTTGATGGTTTAGGACGAGTAGGCTTTACCACCAGTCCGAGGTCACCACTTGTATACAAAAAAACATCGTTGTTATTAAAACCGATTTGTAAGAGTGATTAGTTACTCAATAAATAAATAACATATTGTATCGACTTATAGTAAGTTATGTGGAACATTTGTGCTCGGTGGAGTACTACCGGATTTTCATGGTATCATAGCGCCCTCAATAGATGGATTTTTGAGGTATTATCGCATTAGGTGAGTAGGCTCACACAAAATACATATTTTAGAATGTTGTCAACCTAAACTATTATTTGTTTCCAGCCAGTAACTTTGGCAATTTATTATACAACGATCAAACAACTTGAAAACTAATAATTGCTCTGACAAGCGATGATTTGTTAATTGCATACCAACTTTGTTCTGCTCCTAAATTGTTTGGCACTAAACAGGATCAGAGATAATTCTGCAAAAACACAAACAATTAAACCAGAATGGAAAATCAAAGCCCAAACCTTGTTTTCCCCCTTTCCGTACAGTGCCACATTGATAATGCCGCATCAAAATAACACCTTGTAAAATATATCAGGAGAAATCAGTAGAAGCGACGAATCATTTATTTACTTTCCACAAGATTATATAGTCACACTAAAACAATGTGGTTGTCGAACAACTTTACCGTTTACCACTAAAAGAGAAAATCGATATCGTCAGGGTGAACCAAACCAAATCACGCCATTCCTCGGCACATAAAATAACCAATATTTTTTGCGGGATTCTCTACTGTGGAAAATACTAACATAATAAATGAAAATACAATAAATTCAACAATTTTTCATACAGATTGATTTGTAAAATTTGTATTTTATTTTTCTTATGGGTCACGTGTCATTGTGCTCCCAAATATGGTGTGTATCAATGATTATCTATGCGTTAATGGAAACATGATAACCATGTGTTTTTGACACGTGTGCGATTGTTGGCTCACATATGAGTGACACTATTTGGCGTCGGTAGACAAAAATGGGCAGTATTAATCGACAGTTTAGACTTTTTTCACTGTTATTATACTATTTAACTGTAGTTCCCAATAAACCAAAATGAAATTTTGTTATTATAAACACCGAAAATTTACCTTCAAGCTGAAAGACGAGCAACATTTTGAGAATTACAATATTTTCCGCCAATGGCAAATATTATAACACTGTTATCTGTTTATTCTATTGTATCATTGGCATTCTTCATACTGTG